TATCCATCCACTGCGGCTGCCATACTGAGACTAGATATGCAAACGGCCCTCATCCGATTGCAATCCAATGACAGGGACACATTTTGAAGGACAATAGCCTATAGGATGTATTTTGAATGTCCTGTAGTCCTCAAATAACATTATAGTCCCGTCTCATCTAGTTAACCAAGACGCGGCATAAATTTCGTCATCAGATATTAGTTTTAGCTCGTCAACGTCTCGTCTTAGTCACAGAAAAAAAGTTTGTTAACGAATATTTTTCGTCGTCGTCTTCGTTGACTTCATCCTTTTTGGGGGTTGGTCAAAATAATGTCAACACCTATTATTACAGGGATTCATATGATTTGTGTAGGCAACAGTGATAAAACTAACATGGTGATTATTTTTTCATTGTGTATATTCTCCAGGTTGTAAATCAGTGCTGTATAAGTTGCGGATAAAATGGGTGACAGGTTAGACTTCAAAAAAAGCAAATCATGGGAACCTGTTTAGCAGGAGCATCTGTGACTTAAAGTACCCAACTGTTTGGAGTTTCAAGAACAACAGTATTTACCATTATGACTGTGTACACAAAGCATGATATGACTTCATCAGCTAAAAAAGAACAGTGGGCAGAAACCGCATGCGAATGATAGGGACCATCAAAACTAAGAAGGATTGTGTCCAAACAACAGAACTACTGCAGCAAAAGTGACAGCAAATCTCAATATTGTTGTTTCCACAAAAACTGTCCCCAGAGAACTTCACAAAGCCAACATGCATGAAAGAGCTGCAACTGCTAAAACTTAAAGGGGTTCTATTATGCTCTTTTACAATGTCTTGAATTTGTTTTGGGGGTGTACTAGAACATGCTCTCATGCTTGGTGGTTCGAAAAACGCATTATTTTTTACATAATTTACATTATTACAATACCTTTCTCCCCAGCCTGGCACAAACGGCTCAATTAGTTCCGGGTTTGATGAAGGCCCGCCTTCCGAAAAAAGAAATGTGATGTGATTGGTTAGCTGTCCCAGTGCATTGTGATTGGCGAACAGCTTAGACGGCGTTTCAGTACTGC